GTCCAGGCTGGCCTCGAACTCACAGAGATCCGCCTGCCTCTGCCTCCCGAGTGCTGGGATTAAAGGCGTGCGCCACCACCGCCTGGCACGAAAATGTATCCTTTATTATCTACTGTTCCATATTCAGTTCCCTCAGTTCCAAGCTACCCCCAACAGGAATGAGCAATAAAAAACAAAATACTGTTTTCCTTTATCTTTGTACCAAGCAACAATGACTAGTAATTCTGTAAATGTCAGTATTACATGTATTTTTTTTTTTTTTGAGTAAGACAAGTTTGAAAAGTGACGTAATTTGGCAAGTAATAGAAGTGGTTGAGTGTGGCTGGACAGCCAATTAATAATGTGCAAACAAAACACAAATGGAATCTCACTGCTAATCTATGTGATATAGAAAATGCCTACAGTTGGTGGCCAAGAAATTCAAAATGTTAAGAAATTTGGGTCAATGGCCAGATATCAGCTTTTACAAATCTAAAATATAACACCCAAGTATGCTTCCTTTTTAAATTACGATTTTTCTCTCACTAAATGTTAATATTATACCCTCTCTAATGATGCTGTTTCATTCATTTAGTTGTCCATTTGTGGGCTGAAAATCCTTGGCATGTCTACAGTGCACTGGGCTATAGCACTGGAAGTACATCACTTTGCAACATTTACAAACCACTTCCTTCCGGAAACCTCCATAACTCCATGTAGCCATGTGTCAGTGGATAGATTATCCACCCAATGCATTCCTTATCTGTCTAGCTGGACGTGCACTGAGACAAAAACAGGTGATGCATCTGGGTAAGGACTGTCTAGCTGCTTGCCCAACTGCAGCCACTATTGCTAAGACAAAACTGTCAGTCGTTGAGCTGAGCACAAAAAAGGAAAGTAGATGGTGTTTATCCCCTCTAGTGCCTGCCACTTGGACTCTTAGTTAACAGACACTGACTATAAACAAACTGAGAAATCATTCTCTGTTATAAAGGTCTTACTTTCTCAAAGGCTACAAATAATTTCCCTTCTTCATATCTTAGTAGTAGCTTTCCTTTTAAAGCTATGTGTATAAATATTTTCTCTTTTGGATTTTGCATGCCACATTAATCTAAATACAAAGAAATGATGACGGGTCAAATACTACTTACCGACAATGAGGCTGATTTGTAACCTAGTGTTAGCTAGGAAGCATGACATAAAGCACAGGAAATACATACAGCTTTGGTCTCAAACTTCCATAGCCAGCTGTGGAAGTGTACTGTCATCATTGTACTTCCATTAAGGAAAAACAGAAAAGCATCCTTTGATATCTCCTGTAGCCACAGCTAATAATACTCAAGTGGCCGGGAGCAATAGTCCTCTGGATGTGGCCTGGATGGGCAAGCCTCTGCATAGCACTATTAGATATGATTTCCTCTTTAACACTTAATCTTTTCATGCATATCAAAATGTAAAATGAAGTTACTTTTAAGACAAATACTCTGAACAAGCATTGTCATATATTAAATTTCAGGTTTTCTTAAGGGGACACTACAATGAGCTTCCTGTGCTTCTTGATAGAGTTCATCAATAAGGCAATATAGCAATGGCTTAAGAACAAGAGTACTTGACTTCACAGGTTTTAGGCATCATTTTTCTTTTTCCTGTTATGATGAACGCAACTATACATGTACTTTTCTAACTCATTTGTGTAAGGTTTGACTCTGTCATAATTCTTCCAAACTCTGTCTTTCTTAGCCTATTATTTTCACCAGTGAGCTTACACCTCCTAATATGTGCACATCTATTTATTGTATTCATTTTCTGCCACCCAAGCCAGAATAAGGTAAGCTGAATAACGGACCTTTCCCTTTGGTTGATTCATTGTTCTCACCACCAGGGAGAGATTCCCTAATACAAAACAAGTCTTTGTTGAATGAATGGATATTTTACTTCAATCACTTTATCAGGAGAAAAGATGGAGCCTTACCAAGCCAATTCTCATACACATCCCACAGATACATATTGAAAGCACAAAAGAGGGCACTGTGGCCAAAGGAAATCTCTCAGGACTCAACAGCTTGCTCTGATAGTCTCAGAAATGAAGAAAGATGGGAGAATAAGAGGCAAGGAAAGAAAACCATTTAGAAAAAGTCCTAAGTGAAGAAGTACCAGGAGGTTTTCGTCCAGCCCCACGATCCTATGAAGACAGAGGAGGAGGAGAGGGAGCACACGGACCCACCTCTCTTCTCCTGGTGGAACTCCTCCAGAAGCTGCCCCTGCCTCTCGATGTGCTCGAACAGACAGAGCAGCTCAGACTCCTTGTGCTCCGTCAGGTCCCTGAGCTCCTGTCTGCAGAGCATCAGCTGCTGCCGCATGTTCTTCTCTCTGCTTTCTCTCTCTTTCAGCTCCTCACAGAGCCACTGAAGCTTGGTCTAAAGACAAAAAGACATTTATATCTACTTATTAAAAAGCAAAAGGAAAGTCTGGAAGACAACAGCCTATCTATGAGTCAAAAAAAAAGTAACATTACAATAATCCCAACAATAAAAGACAAATTAAGACACAGTTTGAACATTTAATTTGCTTAAAGGTTTATAACAGTTAAATGTTATTTCAGAGAAATCAGAGAAACATCACCCTTTACAATACCCACAAATAGGGTTGGGGATTTAGCTCAGTGGTAAGCGCAAGGCCCTGGGTTCGATCCTCAGCTCAAAAAAAAAAAGCTACAAATAACATAAAATACCTTGGGGTGACTCTAACTAAGCAAGTGAAGGACCTGTATGATGAGAACTTTAAGCCTCTGAAGAAAGAAATTGAAGAAGATATCAGAAAATGAAAAGATCTCCCATTCTCATGGATAGGTAGAATCAACATAGTAAAAATGTCAATCTTACCAAAAGCAATCTACAGATTCAATGCAATCCCCATCAAAATACCAACACAATACTTCACAGACTTGGAAAGAACAATACTTAACTTCATATGGAAAAACAAAAAACCTAGGATAGCTAAAAGACTCCTGCATAATAAAGCAACCTCTGGAGGCATCATGATCCCTGAACTCAAGCTCTACTATAGAGCTATAGTAATAAAAACAGCTTGGTGTTGGCATAAAAACCAACATGTGGACCAATGGAATCGAATTGAAGACCCTAACATTAATCCACACACTTATGAACATATGATTTTCGACAAAGAAGCCAAAACTGTACCATGGAAAAAAGAAAGCATCTTCAAAAAATGGTGCTGGCATAACTGGATGTCAACATGCAGAAGATTGCAAATAGATCCTTATCTGTCGCCATGCACAAAACTCAAGTCCAAGTGGATCAAAGACCTCACAATAAGTCCAGTTACACTGAACTTGATAGAAGAGAAAGTAGGAAGTAGTCTGGAACGAATTGGCACAGGAGACCACTTCCTGAATATAACACCAGTAGCACAGACACTGAGAATAACAATTAATAAATGGGACCTCCTGAAACTGAGAAGATTTGAGGAGCAAAGGACATGGTCAATAAGACCAAATGGCAGCCTACAGAATGGGAAAAGATCTTCACCAACCCCTCATCTGACAGAAGGCTGATCTCCAAAATACATAAAGAACTCAAAAAAGCGAGACATCAAAATACTGAACAATCCAATTAAAAAATGGGCTACAGAGCTTAACAGAGAATTCTCAACAGAAGAATCTCAAATGGCTGAAAGACATTTAAGGAATTGCTCAACATCCTTAGTCATCAGGGAAATGCAAATCAAAACAACTCTGAGATACCATCTTACACCTGTCAGAATGGCTAAGATAAAAAACACTGAAGACAGCTTATGTTGGAGAGGATGAAGAGCAAGATGAACACTCCTCCACTGTTGGTGGGAATGCAAACTTGTACAGCCACTCTGGAAATCAGTATGGTGGTTTCACAGAAAGTTGGGAATAAGTCTTCCTCAAGACCCAGTTATACCACTCTTGGGCATATACCCAAGGAATGCTCAATCTTACCACAAGAACACATGCTCAACTATGTTCATATCAGCATTATTCATAATAGCAAGAACCTGGAAACAACCTAGATGTCCCTCAGCTGAAGAATGGATAAAGAAAATGTGCCACATATACGCAATGGAGTACTCCTCAGCGGTTAAAAAAAA